CGCTTTGGTGATATCATTAAATTTGATGTCAATACTGATGTCTTCTACTTTGCTCACCTCTGGGATGGCAATCCCCCAATGGCCCCTCCCAATCCTCGCTACAGCCACAATGTCCAGGATCTGAAAAGGAGAATTCTTATGGCTGCCAAACAGGAGTTGAGGGGAAGCATCATGAGGACATCAGATGTGAAATTGCGAGTTCAAGATTTGTGGAGAGCCCTAGTGAATGAGAACTTTATTTTCAGTTTCAGGAACACCCGAGAGGTCATGGCCATGAGCAAATTGGAAACTATGTATAATTCCTGGACCTGGGAGCTGAGGAGTTACGTGCTAGACTTGCAGAACCAGCTCATCAACCAAATAATGAATGGCAAAATCCAGGAACTGACATTAGGCACACTTGAGGATCCAGTTACAGAAAAATATAAAGCCATCCAGCAAGAACTTGACAAATATTTTAATGAAGATCCAGATAATGAGATACTGATTCAGTGGAAAGCAAGTTTTGAAAATAAACTAATAAACCTTAAAGAGGCACTTATTTTTGAGAGCAAAAATAAAGCTGAGGGTCATATCAGTTACAAAAAGAATCAAGAAATACTGGATAACAAAAAGTCAGGTTATGAAAAGGAATTATTGGAAAGAAGCCGAGAACTGGCTTTAACTGTAAAGGATAAAGAACTGAGTGAGGAAGAGCTGCATGTCAAATTCAATCAACTTTGGGAAAAATGGGTCTTTGCTGTGACCTCAACTCTCCCTTCAGTCACAGAGCCTGACATTGATGTGGATTCTGAAAACATCCTTTTGGACTATTTTAAAAAGGAGACAGACGTGGTGAATATACTGAAGAAAAAGTCTAGAAAGGAGTTTGAAATTAATTATGAAAAACATGTCAAAATGAGGAAAAGGTTTGGCTTAATAACAAGGAATTTAGAAGTATATGATAAAGAGTCCATAAAGAGAATTACTGACTGCATTGTTTCAAGATATACTGAAATGATTAAAAACCTCCAAAGGCTACAGTGTGATTACAATCCAAGTTATTTCCATGAAATCCTGAACATAATAGAAGAGGGTGTGAAATCTGCACCCACTGAAGAAAGATACACATTTACAAGTAAGTACAAAATTGACTTATCTTTGTGTTTATTCCAAGGAGCATCTGAGAATTTTAAAGACATGCATAGGGCATTCAAAAGAGCAAATGATCCTAGAAGTTATTTGGAAAGCAAGAAAGATGATTTTTTCATGAGTTTTAAGATCTCTTGTCAAGGAGCATCCTCAATCAAAACATTTGTTGATTTTCTATGGCACAAACTCACTCCTGCCATCTCCAACACGATTTGGGAACAAATGGCCCCTAAAATTGCTGGGGACATGAGAGCTACCTGCCCAGCATTCAATGGAAACAGGGCTAACCTGGAGAAACACATTCTTATCTCCCTGGCAGAAAATGAAAAGTTTGATGATTATTGGAAGTACCTTCATAATCCAGAATCATATTTTAAGGATTACATTCAAAACTATATTAAAAAATATTGTTCAGAACAAAATAACAAAATAAAAACTTTTTTAAAAATAAGTGTTGGTGACATCAAGAATGTCATCCTCTCAGCTATTCATGAATCCACAGCAAGAGCTAAAGATAAAAGCAGCACTGTGTCTGGGTGGTTGGATTTGTTCTGTGGTCACTTGGGGAATAACTTGAACTTTCCAAGAAAAGACTTGGTAAGCATTGAACACCAGGAAATAAAAGATATTGAGTTTCTCAAAGAAGCCATGAATAAAGCTTTGGATCCCGCAATGATCACAGTTGAACAGGAGTGTATGAGTATGCCTGTGGAAGACAGGGTTCCTGAAATCCAGAAAATGCTCTCTGAACATCTGTGTGGCTGCTGGAAACAATGTCCCTTCTGTGGAGCAATTTGTACAAACACAATCCCTAACCATGATGGAGACCACAGTGTTCCTTTCCACCGTCCTAATGCTGTCATTGGATGGCGATATTCCAAAACAGAAGTGTTGTGCCTTAATATCTGTACTAGTTCAGTAGCAAGTGATGATTCATTTACAACAAAATCCACCTCATACCTATATAAGACATACCGACAGGCAGGAGGGGAATATGCCACATGGAGCATCACCCCAGACACATCCACCCAGCCATACTGGAAATGGTTTGTCTGTCACTTCAGATCAAATCTAGAAGAAAAATACAAGAAAAAATTTACAGGTAGAGGTGAAATCCCGGATGCATGGACCAAAATCACAAAGGAAGATGTGCTTGATGACTTGGAAAAGCAATAGTACTCAATGCCCACAAAAGATTACCAGAATCTAAACAACAGTCACAGTACCTGAACAATTCAAAAATACCTCCTCCTAACAATGAGAAACTTTATTTCCATTTTTCAAATGAACTGACTAAATATAAATCAACATTTCAAGAATTTAAAATTTCCTGTTAAAAGGACTTTATTTTTCTTTATCTCAATTCCTTCTGTTTGAAAAAAATTGCTAAAAAATATGAACATACAAATAAAAATCTAATAACATCTATTTCGAATTCCTACTTCATAATTTAAGCTATGATTCAGGAAGGTTTTTATTTTAAAATGTTTTATAAAGTCCCAGACAAAGTTGTTTTCATAGAGGAAAATCAAAAACATTATACATAGTTACAAATTTCTAATATTAACTATATGACTATTTCAAGTGAATGTACAGTTCTTGGCTACAAATTGCCTCTGAAATCTTGAGAAAAAGTTGCTAACCCTTGAATGGAAAAATACTGATGGAAAGATGATTCCCAAGCATAGTGATATTTAGACATATTCTCTTCTGGGAAATAATAACACAGACTTGACTGAGCCTTATCAATTCAGGAAACATTATTAAGCAAATAAAGAAAATAGAAATTGAATTATTGTTTTTCTCATGTAACTATCATTCTCATCTTCTCTGGCACCTTGGCAGTACTCTGTGCCATGGTTAAATAAAACATAAAGGTTCATAAGAGCTTAGGTATTCAAAGCCTGGTATTTGAAAAAGCTTAAGAAGAACTGGCTTTTGGAAGAAGGTTTATGAGCAGGTGAGAAGTATCACTTTATTCACAGCTGTCAACAAAAGTCAGATTTCATTATGCCATAAATAATTGTAAAAACTATTCCTTTAAGAATAAAATAGCAAAGAATATATAGTTTTTAGATTCTGAATATTTCAATAAGATATTCTTTTATATACTAAAATGTAAGGAAATGATTATCTCCAATATAGGCACCTTTGTGATTTTTCGCACTGTATGAGTCATAGGATCATGATCAGAATACAAATGAAAAGCTCTGATGGTAACCAGGAATCTGAGAGGGCAAAGAAATCACCAGTCTGAAAACCTGCATCTTCTGCAACAATGACTTATGCTAGGTTCTCAAAGCAAATGACTTAAAGTAATCTTGATACAAAGAAAATGTCTTCATGTTGGACATTAAGAGGATCCAAGTCTTCCCTTTACAGGCACACTCTCTATCCCTCCATAGCCAGTGGAAACAGACAGTGAACAGCAGTCAAAATCTTGCATCTTTAGAGCTGGGAGACAGTGCTGATTCCACTTTGAATCCCCAAAGAGCTTCAAGCATACTCTCAGTTTGAGGTCAAATGATCCATGTCTGCAAAAGAAATCCTTGAACAGAAAAATTATAAAGGAATCAGGTGTCCTAGAACAGTATAGTTTCACTTTTGTTCTCTGGAAAATAGTCTTAGTAAGAGTTGGAAGGACCTCCTCATATGATCATATTCAAATGGTGACAG